CTCTCCTTCACGATTTTTATTTTCTCTCTTAAACGCAGTTAATTTTTGCTGAGTGGTATTCGCTTGGTAATTTTATACTGTGGCATCAGGTTATTATCAAATGTGTATACTGTAATCAATATATATGAGAGAGATATTTTTTAAGTTAGTTACCATTTATTTCCATAAACCTTGACCTTTACTACAAGGTGGTCACAATTAGTATTGACCATTGAATGTGAAATTTGGTGGCTGCATTTATTTTATTGACCTCTCTCACTCGCTACAAAGAAAAATGAAGATGAAAGAGAGTGAGAGAGTTCAAGGGGGGAAGACAGAGGGCAGGGGCTTAGAGAGAGTTGAAATCGGTGATTTTTTTTTGAGAGAGAGTGATGAGGTGGGGTTTGAGAGAGAGAGTTTTGAAATCAGTGATTTTTATTGAGAGAGAGTGATGAGGTGGGGTTTGAGAGAGAGGGTTCAAAACAATAGGAGGTGTAATTTTGAGGTCTTTCTCACACACACATATACACATGCATTCGCTCATTTATAGAGTTCTTTAAGTTTTCAAAGAAATGAGTATTATGCTCTTTCAATTTTGTTATCACAAAAAAATAGTACTTTTAGTCTTTGATTTCCTTAGAGTAGCGAATTTTTATGCAAATTAATTAACATGTGCTAAAACGTCACTTATGAAGCTCCACTTTAAATAAGAACTATGAAGGGTAGCTTTTCTGAGAAAAATCGAAGAGAGTGAGAGCAAGACAAAACAAACGAAGATTCAGCAAAATGAGAGAAATAAAAAGATACCTATGGGTGGATTTATTGGGGTTTTACCACTGAAGAGAGAAGGAAAAAAACGAACAAAGAGAGAGGAAAAGAGTCTTGAATTCCTTTATGTTTAGCAGCTTATTAGATTGTGTTAAGAGTTTCAAAATTGCATTATAACACATTCATGAGTATATGGAATACTTATAATCAAAAGTTTTCTGAAAATTTTTACACTTTTAATGGAACACAAGAATTCAAACAGATAATAAGACTATAAGTCTCTAATTAATAGTAAACTTTAATTGTATTTTTACCTGTGAAAATAGTGTGGGTTAAAACATGCAACAAATCATTGATGTAGCTAAATAAAAAAAAAAAAAAATTCCAATAGAGTGGGTACTTCTTAAAATTTCTCCCATTTAGGTTCCTTCTTAACTATTTTGTGAAAAAATTAGGTGGTGGTTTGATGATCTTATGCTATTTCTAGTTTGGGATCGTATACAATGAGACCATTTATCTTTAGTACAATGAAGTCACAATTACTTACAACCATCCGATGTAAAATCTAGTAGCTTGGGTGTGTTATAAAGTTCAAGAAAATTTTTTTTGAACTTTGAGCTTTGTCAATGAAATAAATGCAGCCACCCAATTTCAATCCAATGACCAAGATTAATTGTGTCCGCTTTGTACCAAAGATAAATGGTCTCATTATATACTTTACCCTTCAGTTTTTTATTCTTATTTGTTTATTTTAATTTTTGTGACGTGGGATAGTTCACGAGAATTTTTTCAGCCAAAGTGGAAAAAAAGAATCTACTATGTTCTTTGGGCTTTAGATATGTGAATGTCTCTCACACTTGTTTGATATATTTCCAGGAAAAATGTTTGTTAGTTTTTGGGTGCGGTTTGCATAGCGCACCTTGAATAGTATCTAGAAATATGGTTTTAATTATAAAATTTAAAGCTTAAAAAATAGTATAGCTCGAACAGATATATGAAAAGTTGAAATCTTAAAAATTGATGGTAAAAAAATGCATTACAACATGCACTATTTTTAAGACTTGAAATCCATTTTTTTTCATGTTTATGCATCGTAAGATTAAGATGATCAATTTGAAGATATTTGGGAAGCAAAACAACCTCTTTCTAGTGCCCTACACAACCTCTTCTTCTCTAGTGCCCTACACAACATCAATGTGAACCAGATTTTCAAGTTCATCACAACCCCTACTTCTCTAGTGCCCTACACAACATCAATGTGAACAAGATTTTCAAGTTCATCACAGCCAAGCTCTTTGATTTTTTGTGGAGCATAGAGAGAAACTTGACGATCAGGGAGCCAATTATCGATTTTTGAGGACTCTTAGGGCATGTTTGACAACTGGAACTTTGGATGTGGAGCCCTCTGATTTTGTAAATAGGAGATTGTGGGCTGTGCGACAACTATCTTGGCCTCGTGTCTCGGGTTCTCGAATTAGTTTAGGTTGGGCTCTCGGATTAGTTTAGGTCGGGTTGGATGTGATTGGATGTGATTAGTTTAGGTCGGGTTCTCGGATTAGTTTAGGTCTGTCTCACTCTCTTTTGATATGTTAATAGCAGGAATGGAGGATAGGGCATTATGTTGAGGCATCCGCCCACCTAGCCGCGATGCCCGAACTCCATTACTCTCTCTATTCACATTTGCAAAGTTTAGAATCAAGGTACCAAATCGATAAGAAAAAGAAAAGAATAGTCTTTTCATTGTACAAATTCCATGCTTCACTCTTGTTGACAGTTAAATATTGAGTTTCCTACCTTTTATGTTACAAGAAATCAAGTTTTCTATATTGAGTTTATTGAGTTTCCTATTTCGTGGGATTACAATTGTAATGAGATTTGTTTTCTAAAAGGCAAGAGTTGTAACTCTATAAATCTCTGGTAAACCAGAGTCATCTAAGTAATCCCTATAAATGAGATACTGATTTACCCTCTGTGGACGTATGAACTATCGCCAAACCACGTATATACTATGTTGATATATTTCTCTTTCTTCTCTCCTCTATTTGCAACTTTTACAACTCCAATTTCTACCATTTGTCTTTTGTACATGGATGTTACAATCATTTTACTCATTAGATGCCAAATTGGTGAATAGCTTGGAGTGAGTTACGACGTCCCAAATTTTTTTTTTGAACCTTGTGTATATTCAATGATACTTTTACAACCACCCATTTTGAAATGTAAGGGACAAGAATGATTGTCTCCCTTATATATATATATATATATATATATATATATATATATATAGTAAGTACGTACTACTAGTGTACGTAGTAGTACGTAANAGTACGTAGTACGTACTTACCGTACCCTT